TATATATGGGCTGTCAGTTTAACTCGTTAATTTAATTAATTAGTTATGAAAAAATAACTCAATTAAAATATTTTAACGCACTGGCCCCACCCCCAGATCTGTACGTCATCGTAAATTTCATACAGTTGACTGTTGACAAATATGATCCAGGGCAACAACTCCATAAATGCAGTTATGCCCTAAAATTCAAGATATTGGGGCAAAAAATGCCCCTGTATGAGTTTTTGTCTCATATTTATATCATATGATAAGCAATATCACACCAGCAGCGAGAACAATATCACACGAGTGCTGGTGGTTTTGTCATGAAGAACACGAGTGCAAATGTGATTTTCAGTTCAGTAAATAAGAAGTTAATATTGTGCAATATTTTAAACACAATATTGTGTGTTTTTATTTTATGTATTTTGGCAACGTAAATATTACCTATAAAGTCAGAGCAGAATGGACCCTTTTCACAAGACTGTGAAGACGCGTTTAACAGTCATCAGCATCATAAATCCTCTAAAGTTTTTCATATTTGTATTTTTTTTTAAATGTATGTACATATATAACACTATTCTTTGTATTATATTACCTTTGCATCAAATTACAAAAACATTTTGTTAACGCTAATGCTTCTAAATAATGTTTCTAATGCAGCGTCTATGGGAGGGACAGTAAATTTGACATTGTTCTCTCTTCTGACTGCCGTTATCAGTCTCTCTCTCGGTTTTTTCCCTTTTATTGAAAGTCAGGAAAACACTATCGTGGAGTTTTTCTATTGCTGTTTGAGCAAATGGGAATGCAAAAAATATATTTGTGGTACTCTCCCATTCACTGCTCTTCAAGTTAACCCAACTATGATGACTTCCTCTGCTGAGAAACCCGGAAATGTGAAAAAGGTCCATTGTTGTGCGTCTCCGAGCAACACAGCGGTGTTTAGGGCGAATTCCAAACAGAAGTGAGCATCCATATGCCCTACTCCCTTCGAAGGGCAGAGCACTCCATCAGTTGTTGCAAAGAAATATTTCTTCTCATTATTATTTTATTTAAATATTGTCTCACTGTGTCTTATTTACTATTAAAATTTTTCAAACTAAACATGCTTAAACTACTGTCTTAAATTATATTTCTATCACTGACAAAAAAATTACATTAAAATAAAGACAAATTTAATCAGCCTATCCTACTTACGGCACATGAGGATGCAGAAGGGCACTTCAAGAAACAGTTGTTTGGTCCCGTACACCCTTCAACCCTTCGAAGCTCTCACTCCGGAGGGTAAACCCTTTGAAGGGATTAGGGCATAAGAATGAGCCCTTCCAAATGGAACGCAGGGATAAAGAGCTGTTTACTTCATTCCTGAATGAATCAGCCGTTTGAATGAATCGACTCATAAAGACATTTAACGCCACCTGCTGGTAGTTTTAGTTTCTTCTTTAGAGTAACATTTAATTTATTTAAAAAAAAAAACATTAAAGGGACAGTTCACCAAAAAGAAAGAAAGAAATAAATTCTGTCATCATTTAGGCTACTCACCCTCATGTTGTTTCAAACCTGCATGACTTACTTTCTTTTGCACAACATAAAATATGGTATTTTGAAAACTGTTGGTAAAAAAGCTGTTTTACTTACCAGTGACTTTCATTGCATGAACAAAAAATACTGAGATGTTTCTCAAATTATCTTCTTTTATGTTGCATACTTTATGTTAGGCCATTGTAGCCTAAACATTTAACACAATAATAGCTTTACATTATCTTTTGGGGGTATTTTCACAGCCAAATTTAGTTTGCGATTAATTCGATTAATCAATTGCAGCTCCCTGTAATTAATTAGATTAAAATTTTAACAGCCCTAATATATATATATATATATATATATATATATATATATATATATATATATACACACACACAGTATCATCGTTTTCTTTGGCTAAATACACACTAGGTAATTTGCTGTGCTGTGTAATATTAAAAAGAAAATATATAATTTATATATAAATATATATATAATTAGATTTTTTTTTAAACATTTTATATAACACAGCATTACCTAGTCAGTATTTTATTTCATTAAAAAAAACTGTCAACTTGTATTCCTGCAAGTTTTTCTCCCTCCTTTATGAAAAAATGACACTGACTTGACACGAGCTGAATTGAGCTTCTTTCTGATGCATATGCATCTCTTTCAGGATATCCTGGCATCTATGATAAACAGCACCGTGACAAGCAGGCCTCCTGTGACACTGCGCCTCGTCTTCCCCGCCAGTCAGTGCGGTTCACTCATTGGCAAAGGAGGCTCGAAGATCAAAGAGATCAGAGAGGTAGATATTCTAGGTAGAAGTTTAATTGTTGGCAAATGCGCAGGGTTTGTAATGCAGGTCACAGCGGCTCCCAGATGATGCACGGAATGATCCGTTAAACAATTAGTTTCCGTTGTCTCAGTGGCAGCAAAAACACTTAACATCAGCATGATTGATTGTCCTCATCAAGATAGAACTTTTTATTCCTGAGCACAGGGGCCCAATCGACTCAGGCTTCCACTAAATCCACACGTTATGAGACAGCCCTGAGCTGTAATTTCCTAAACTCTTGAACTTGCTCACTTTTCCTCAAACTTATCTATTCATGG